AAATGATATCAGCCTGTGGTAGATCGAAACTTTGATCGAGATGATCGACGTTGTTCGATTTCGTCCTAGCTGGCAATTGGTTATTGATTAGGAATGACCATGCGATGACGGCAACCGCCCCCAATGTGATGTGTGGTGAAGCGTGAATGAGCGTGAATGAGCGATAAGGTCGTTGACCAGATTCGTTAGCAACCAGAAGTAGTTAGGCAAGGTAAATAGATATTCAGACAAAGCACCCGTCTGGTCTGGGACATCTAGGCAAATGAACTCGCCTAGCAATCCAACTACGACGACGCAACCAAGGAGCGGCGAAGGGGCGCCGGCACCCACGAGTGCCATGCTAGGGGTAGTTGGAGGCTCTGGATTTGCGACCAGTTGTCGAAGTCGAACAAGTCGGGAACGAAAATTTCACAATGGGCATATTCCGTTCGTTCTTGTTGGCTGATAAGCTTCCCGAAGGTGCTAACGTTTAAATGAAGAGAACGCAGATTAGGACAGGCCAACACAGTCTCGCACATTTCGTGAATCTGATGTATGCCGCCATGAACGATGAGCTCCTGCAAATTGTCTAATGTGTTTTGCGACCCTTGAAGCATTACGTCTCCTTCGTCTATGCAGACCTCGAGTCGCCGGAGGTTAGGAAACCCCGAAAGATGAACTGCCAGACAATTGTCTGGGTCAGCGTCAGGATACCATGCTTCGGCATCACAGAAATCTTGAAGACTAATTCTAGAGTGATCTTGGGTGCCGCACATCACCCTCAAGTTTGTGATATGAGGATATTCGAAGAGACTGTGCGTGGCGTCCCTTACAGCAATTCCCTCCAGGGGCCCAATACCGAACTTGAAAAGGGGGCTGCTCTGAAGAGGAAGGCGTACAAGTACCGTATCAACTTTAGTAGTTAGAGATACGAGGACACTTGCTATACCTGTCATGTCAACAAGCTGATCTGCCAGGCGCGCCGCTGGAAGGCCTATCATCGGTGCCCATGGCTCGAGCCTGTACGGACTTAGCTTCACGGCTTTACAAGGCCTCCAATCCAATCGAGCGCGCTTCAGTAGGTCCTGAGCTCGAGTAGGCAAGCTCTCAAAATGGACAAGCGGTTGAAGTTTGGTCTGCCAGGCAGACGCCGCGTCTCGGACCACAGCTTCGGTGTTGGCAAGAGTGAAGGAGATTTGGTAGATGAAGGGTACGACAGAGGGGGTTTCGAGGATTGTGCGTAGTAATAGAACCATAGAAGAACCGGTTCTCACGACAATATTCTCATATAGAAACTTCTTTACTACCACGTACATGCGCTTGCTGCTTTGGCAAAGGCCATGTAAGCCGGCGGCACGTCTTTTCGAGTCTGAATCGTTAGGCCAGGCATCTTGGAAGAGCCTGCCCATTTCATCACGATTCTCGCGGTGGCGGGGGCCGAATTCAGCCAAACATTGATCCCAGACTGGCTTGGGATCCAATGACGGCGCCTTCGGTCGTAGATCTTGTAGAATCAGAAGTACAATCTCGTTGGGTAGGGACTCCATCTGGGGTGAGATCTGTGTGCAGTATGGAGATAGTTGGAAAACTTGAAAAAGACTTGAAGTCGGCGCGTGTGTCGGCGCGTGTATTTGGAATAAAATTTTCGACGTTGTTTTTGGTGGGAAGTGAAGAGTTGATTCAACGATCCGAAGGTAAGGAATAAGTTAATAACCTCAGGTATTTAGGTTAGGTAGTCTAGCTCGCCGTTGTGAAGTCGTACCTTCCGATATTCCTCAGGTTGTGAAGTTGTGCCTTCCATTGTATTCATTCTCAGGTTACGCCGTGCCTACCTACCTAAGGTACAACCTAAGGTACCTACATTTCATAATTGACATTTTCTTCGTATATATATGTACCTTCTTCTAACATCTGAACAACATCTGAATGAAGATGAAAAGAAGGAAGCGACGACCACAATGCAAGAGGTTGAATGCAAGCCGTATTAGATAAGCTTATTAACAACGTACGCTATACCAAAACTGGGTTAAAGAGCACTGTGGAAGACCCCTGCCACCCACAAATACGAGCACGGTCCAATTATTTTCACTTTGCTATGTACAATGTACATAGGTACCCCCGCCAAGACAAATCTCACTTTGGATGTGGGTCCTTGTCTCACCCTTTTTCCCATCTTCCATGGCAACACCACTGGCCTCTCTCTCTATCCAACCATCTTTCTTCTTCACCAACCAGCCAACTTTTACAACTTTTTCTCTCCCCCAGCCTTTGGCCGAGCAACCAACCCCCGGGCCTTTCCAAATGGTCATGTCAATGTCGTAGAGGATATACGATATACGATTCGTTTACAATAGTCATTCGTTTCCCAATTACATACAACTAATTAATACTAATAATACCGTACTGTACCGTACTGTACCGTACTGTCCACGCGCTCTTACACATACAATACATGCAGTACTGCAATACATGCACCCTACAGACTGACAGACAGTCAACTTTCGTTTCCCCCCGACTTGAGCTCGAGCCTCGTCTACTGTCCGGGCAAACCTTGACAAGTCAGCTCTACGTAGACACACCACGGCTGAACCGTAGATCCATCTCCCCGTACCGTTCGATATCGATCTCGTCCGCATCGCATCACTCGCTACAAACTTCCCCTCTCCGTCTCCGTCTCCGGCACACCTCCATCCAATCCATCTCGTAGTAGTCTCGCTACCATCCATCGTTGAGTAGGTAGCCAGTCGCCCGTCGTCTTCGTCGACAACATGGGCGGCTTCGGGGACTTCACCGACATCTGTCACACGGCCCCGTTGCCGTTGTGTCCGTCCGTCGGCCCCATCACATCCATCGCGAGCGGCGTCGGCATCGAGACCGACTGCTTCGCGCGGAATATCGAGTTGGCCAACACCATCATCTTCCAGGGCGCATCGAGCTTCATGCACATCATCGCCCTGATCATGACCGTAGTCATGATCTTACATATCCGAGGCAAATTCACCGCCGTCGGTCGCAAGGAGATCCTGGCCTTCTTTTACTTCTACATGCTACTCTCTTTCATCTCCCTCTGCGTCGATGCCGGCGTAGTCCCTCCCGGCTCCGAACCGTACCCGTATTTTGTCGCGATACAGTCCGGCTTGACATCTGCTATGATCACATGTCTGCTGATCAACGGTTTCGTCGGCTTCCAACTTTACGAAGACGGTACTCCGGTGTCCGTCTGGATGCTCCGGCTCAGCTCCTTCGCGGCCTTCGTCGTCTCCTTTCTTGTTGCGCTAGCTACATTTAAGTCGTGGGCTGGCATGGGTCCGGCGAATACCGTAGGATTGTTCACAGTGCTGTACCTACTGAACGGCGTACAACTCCTCATCTACATAGCCTTGCAGGCTCTCCTCGTTGTCCGGACCTTGGAAGACAGGTGGCCGTTGGGAGATATTACCTTTGGCTTATTTTTCTTTATCGTGGGCCAGGTCATCCTCTACGCGCTGAGCTCCACCGTCTGCCAAGCGACGAGCCACTACGTTGATGGCTTGTTCTTTGCGACGACTTGCAACCTGCTCGCCGTCATGATGGTTTACAAGGTAGGCTGTTTTCTTCTCTGTATTGTACTCTGGAAGCATACTAATACAAATCGCAGTACTGGGATTCCATCACCAAAGAGGACCTCGAGTTCTCCGTCGGCACTCGGATGAACAACTGGGAAGTCAAGGAGCTGCTCCCCGAAGAGGACCGCCGCACCACCATCTACATGGACGACCCCTACCACTCCCAACCCTACGAACACTCGTCCTCTCCGTCTGGGAACCGCATGTCCCGTTACTAGTTGCCCGGGATCGCAGAGTCTTCCCACAGCGAAAAGGACGAGGACGAGGACGAGGAAGAAAAGAACGAAGTGGTCTGCTTCGAGGTGGTCTAAGTTATATACCTACGTACATACGGGACGGTCACTTGCTTGTTGCTTGCTGCATGTTGCATTTGGGAAAGGCGTTTTCTTGGGCTTGGGCTCCGGTTTGGGTGGGCAGACACGTTTGTCACGTATGAACGCACCTGGGTTTGCTTACCGGAGAAATAGAGATTGCCGTCCACTACCTAGCTAATACTAGGTACGGTGTTGGCACCGACAGCGACTGCTTTCACTTTACGGGTTTTGCATTTTTGAGACTGAGAGAAAAGAATTGGAGTGAGGGTAGAGGGTTGAAGAGCAGAGCAGTGGCGACGGTATGTCGGTAATATTGTGTTGGCATCTTAGCTGTATATATTAGATATTCGAGGAATATGAATATTTCCATGCAGAATGTGCAATTTGTAACTTGGATTGGCTTTTATGGCAACGATGAGGTTTGGGGGAAAGCGGTGACACTCCCACTTCAACCAACAGGCTTTTGGACACGGCATGAGTCCCTCTCACGAGGATACAATAGACGGATTTACGTAGAATTGATTTATTGTTATCAAAGATGGAAAAGGCTTTAACCAGTTTGCCATAATTAGTGTCTACTCATCGCTGCAGGCGATAAGAACTCCTGAAATCCATACACCACCGTCACAAGCCAGCATTAGCAAATCTCTCACCGGTATGTTAGGTAGACTTTCTTTTTCTCTACCCCGCCTTCTAATTGAACCTACGCGGATTCCAATATATCCGGGAATGCGTAAGGCTGCACTTAAAAGCCCGTGATCTCACATGTCTCGCGTCAAGCCTCCCGAGGGGGATGGGCGTGTGAAGGTGGCTGGACTATGTAGACTAGACTAGCTGTGCTAAGTAAGACATCTGTCTGTTTCTAGTTCGGTGTCTCAGAAAGCACTTAAACTTCAAATCGGGTCAAGTATAACCACTTTAGATACCTAGGTATGTAGATGTGTTATGCAATTCCTAGTAGGTTATCCAGTTGTCAGACGCTTAGGTCCCGTTATGTATGTGTCTATGCTCTTCTTATCTACGGTCTAGAATGCCGCTGAATCTCACAACCTAAACTCGCGTCTTATTCCAGAATACCTACCAAGTGAAGAAAAAGAAAATATGCCCACTACTGGAGTCGAACCAGCCATCTCCTCATTGCAATCCCCAGTAATTTGTTCTGCCAGGTTCTCTAGTGAGGTGCATTACCGATGTGCCAAGCGGGTCCTTGTTCTGCGCTTTGGCCATTATGACGATGAAAGTAACTGCTAGAACTACCTGTATAGTAAATTGTATTCTTCGGCGTTTGTGTTTGCGTTTGCATAAGGTGTATGTCAATATGATTTCACCACGTTGCTGCGCTAGAGACCGAAAATTGAAATCACAGATAGAGGGACATATGAACTTGAATCATATACCAGAGGCCGTCAGCAAGTTCACGTATGCCAGATCATCGGTCTAGTCACGCCGTGGCAGTAATTCTATAGTATCCGAACTCACTGTATATCAACGTAGTATACTGTCAATTAGATACAAAGCAAATTCCAGTTAGGCTTTGCCTATTCTTCCCTGTAGCGCCCTACCCAGAATCCGTCTCCTCGCCCGTCAGCCCGCCGTTTATCTCCCTTTTAGAGATTTTATAGCAAAACCCTCTTACCCAGGTCGAAGAGAACACGCGACTCAGCTGCTCGCGTACAGTCATCTTCTTCGCAGGTTCCGGGGGGTTTTTGGTTATGGGTATCCGTGTTCGACCCTTCATCACATCCATCTGATTCCAACGGGGGATCGTCGTCGTAGCGGAGCCATGACCCCCATGGCTCTCATGAGTTCAGGACCGGGAGGATTTTCGACTACGGGGCGAATCTGGTAGAATGTAGGGCTGGAGTCGATCTCGTCGTTGCGGCCGCGAAGCTGGTGGACCTCGTGGCCATCTACGAGGCAGCGTGTGTTGGCTTCTATATTCACTACCAGGTCATCCTCTGCCTAAAGTCTCAAATTAGCTGCATCAGTAGCGAGTGTTCATTCTAAATACATACATTTAGGGGATGATGGACACGCCCCAATCTTGACACAATAATCCTGGAGGACTTCTTATGATGTTTGAGGGTAGAGATGACTAGAGGAATGGCGCCTAAAACCAGACCGGCAACCTCGAAGCCCGACATCGAGTCTCGTTATCGCTAAGGAGTGGTAAGTGCAATAAATACAGTGGAAGACTTGATCTAGGCTTGAAATGTGATCTTTTCACATTACTACCACCTAGGTAGGTAAAGCAACAGAGGAACGCGCTGCAGACCATGACGGCATGTTATCCCAAGGATCCTATTAGCTGCCTCCTATTGTTATGTCGTACAGTGTGAGGGGTAGTAAAAATTCGTCACTAAGACATAGATATGGGCTCGCGTAGCTTGGTATCTTACATTTGGGAGATGCAGCTATTCTGGACACCAAAGGAGCTTATAACTACATGTAAACATGTGTAAATTGTACCTAATTTAGGCCAAGTGTATAGGTAGCTAGACACTGATAAGCCAGGGGCGCGAAGGCAACTTCAATGGCTAAGGCTAGTGACTACCTATGAACCGAAGTGAGATTTTTTCCGTATGGGCAAGAGGAAATTCTCAGGCTCCATTAGAAGGTCAGACATGCGAATAGCTCAGTGAACGCGGCACTAGATCGATGACCTCCGAGATTAGGAAGTAGCTGGGCGTGTGTAAACAAGTACCTAAGCAAAAGGTCCTATTGTCGAGTGGAGTTAGTCAAACTCCACAGCAGCGAAACCAAGGTGTCCTCATAGGGCCGCTTAGCCTCGATGCATCAAACACGTTCCTTGTTATCACTGCTTGAGTAGCGAAGCAGAAAGACTTCAGCTTAATGCAGTCATACATAGTCTAATGCAGAGAGCATCTCGCGGCAGTTCGTGGGACTGAGCAAGCATGAGGCTTGCCAGGCATCCGAAGGGATTGCTGTTCGTCTTGGCTCGGTGCTGAGCATATGTGCATCTCGTCCGCAAGTTCGACGTTTCAATCTCCGTCGTCGCCGAAGCTAAGCTTGATCTTCTTCGCCTTCTTCTTGCCCTGCTTCGCGCCGGACTTGGCGTCTTTCGAGTTCGCGTGCTCGGCGGTGGGCTTGTTCTTCACCTCTTGCTTGAGCCGGCGTATAGCTTCGGTTTCGCCTTTGCTGTTGCTGTCTGCGTCCTCGTCGCCGCCGACTACGCGTCCGAATTTGCGCTTCTTGCCCGCGCCGATGCCGGCGACCTTCTCTTTCTGCTTGGACGCATCTCCTTCTCCCTTGGTCCCTGCATCGTCTCCATCCTTTGCCTCTGTGATGACCTCGGCGTCTGCGGAGAGAACGACTGCATTCCCTTCCTCGTCCACGACAAGTGGCGCGTCTTCTGCCTCCTCGCTTGCGGATCGCGGACGCGCCGCTCGTCTCCGCGCAGCTAGGATCGGGTCCGGCACGTCTGAATCTCGTTGCTGCTGCTGTTGACCGCGGAGCCGCGCGAGGAAGGGCGGTAAGTTGTCGCCGGCGTAGGAGAGATTCTTTGAGGTGATTTTTGCTTCACGTTGTTGAGACATGGTTTTTATCCGCGTTTAGACTATGGTCCATATGATCAAATCCACCAAAGCGATAAAACCGTGGGTTATCGTAGCGGGCGTGGTTTCGGTTATTGAGTAGGATAATTACACGCGGCGACTCACACTGTTTTAGTGGATTTTGGGCTGCGGCTTAACGTGGATAGTGGGTCTAGCGGGTCTCGAAGCCGAGAAAGATATTTACCTAGCCTAGGTACCTAGGTAGGTAAGTACCTACATAGGTACCTAGGTACCTATCTAGGTCAAGGTTGTGAAATGCCACTATACGCTTTCTTCATTACCTTACAATGTTCCTGCAATGGCATAATGATATTCTCACAGTACTCTTTACAAAATTCCTTATCATCCCAGGAACACGGTTTAGTGCGGGATATTCCTAGGCAATGCCTAATTGCCTTGTAATAGTCATCCAACACCTCTGCTGTCAGATTTTGCTCCCGCAACCAACAACTTGCCTGATGGGACCTATCCGCCTCCGACTCGACGGGCTTATTGGCCCACGTCTCTAGCGACCTGTCGTGCCAGATCTCTAGCAGTAGAATAGCTAGTTCTAATAGAGCCGTGTTTGCGTTATGATCTTTGGGGCCATTTGTCAGCGTCGACCGATTCTTTCCTATGGTTTGTTCCACGAACAGCCCGGGTATAGTCACGTCCGTTTCTTCTTCATACTGGATTGCGAACTTGATATCCCTACTGTTGACCGGAAGGCTGAACCAAGAAGTCTGACGCAGTTGGAGTATCGACGCGGCAATGTCTAGTGCTAAGGAAGTTCGTTGCGCGAAGGAAATCTGCATGTTTCCATTACACGCTCTCTTTCTCAGGAAATCATCCAGAGTTTTAGGCTCAGAATCGGAAAAGTCCCGGCGAGACTCCGGCGATTCCTTCAGTAGGCTAATACCGTCCTCAATTAGCCGAAGGTTGAGAATGCATCGTGAATCTTGTGCTCTGTGCGCGTGGTGGCAGATGTCTGTTAATCTTTCTGAATCGCCGTTGACGCCTCTGTCTCCTACTCCAAACTGGGAAACCTTGACTAAAGCTTCTTGTAGATCATCCTTTAGTGCGAATGCAAGCTTGAACGTTGATTCAATCGTCGGTAGTTGCTTTTGCAATGGCATGCGGTTGTCGAGTCGCATCAAGACCTTATGCCTACTCGAACAGTCGTCGTCGCAAGTGCGGATTGCACACATCGCCGCTAGTAAAGGCATCACATTGGTTCGGACTTGGGCAAATATCCTGGCAAGTTTCTCTGCATCGCCCGACGGCTGTCTTGTTGCATATCCTTGCTGCTGCTGTGTCTTGCGTGTGATGATGGGCTGTAGCGAGAGCCCTTCTAAATCCTCGATTAGTTTCTTCAGCTTACGCTTCCTCAATAAATACGAGACCCGCTCCTTCGGGTTAAAGGCGCTTTTCTTAGGTGGATAAGCGGCCAGGATAGCAGCCAGGTTTTCCTTCGCTACCTATAATAAACAATGAGCTTCGCGAGTGGCGAATAATGATGGAGAGAACTACACCCGAAGGACGGTGAATGCGCCCTAGTCTCGTGATGATGCTCTTGACGCATCTAGAATATCTATCCAAGATTCTCAGAAATGAGCTATGGAGTTCTTGTCCGAGATAATTCTCCATCTGAGTCTCGTTTTCTGCGATTTGTAGGGCCTCTATGCATTCTGTTTCCGATAAGCCGTCTATATTATCTTTCACCTTAGCATTGCGCAGTAAGGTGCGGATATCCATAAGAAAAAGTGCCTTCTGATCTTTCAGACAACTGATTAGATCCTTGATTTCGCACGTTTTAATAGGATCCCGTACTGCATCACAACAGTACTCTAAGGCGGGGATAACGAGAGGAACGAGGGGAATGACAGCTAAGGCTACGCCAATGATCTCTAAACCCGACATTGAGTCTCATTATCGCTAAGAACCCGCTCCTGGATTGGATTGCTGGACTGGAAAGTTTAGAGAGGATTTTACACGATGCTGCTCAGATGAGGGGAGGAGAGCCTCATCTTACGGCACGCACTGAGACAATATTTTCGACAAGATTCTATGAGGCTGAGCGGGCAGTGGTTTGATAGGCCGAGGACTGATGATAGTTGTCATGTTGTACCCCACGACCTCAATCTTACTTCTTTAGTGAAGCGATCGGTCTGCATCATTGATACAACAGGCATTTTACCACTACATGTTACTAAGGCTTGAGCCAATCTCCGAACTTGAGCGATACTCTAAACTTTTTGACGTGGAGGATCTGTATTCACTGCCACACGAATTGGCTGATGATTTTAGAACGTTACTTTGTATCACCCAACCTAGCGAAACATCCTAAACTCAATGGAGTCGGTCGAACTCTACGACATTGGATTGAAGGTGTTTAAGGCATTTCAAGACCTACTTGGTACCGATCAGTTTTCTAAGCACCATCAATTCATCGACGAAGAGCAGAGATTCAACTTGTGGGCCTACAATCTCGGGTTGCGTCAACAGGGACATGCATCACTAGATTATCGGGTGCGAGATATTGTTATCGTAAAGGAACGCCTATCTGAAGTTCTATCAGAGTTGCAAGCGCACCTTGACAACTTGTTAGCCATTGCGAAGGATAAGCGGCAGCCGTTTGAAGCGAATCGCCC